GCTGGCCCCACTAACACCTCTTCCAGCAGCAACCTTAGTTTTTTTTCCCAGGAGATCTCCCATCCAGGTACTGACCAGGCTCACACCTGCTTAGCTTCAGTGGGTTGCCAGTTGTGAGTTGCAGGGTGATATGGCTGCTGGCTAGATTGACTAGGCGTCTGTGACATTTATGAATGTACAACAACACAAGTAATGCCATTGCATTACTTAAGTTATTACGATTAAATTGTAATCAATACAAAATACAAGAAATGTCATCAAAATGATCAATCTTGTATCACTAATCATTTTTTTAGATAAAAAACATTGAATGAATTAATAAAATCCAACTTTATGGAAAAATCAGGTATTTCGATGCTGAAGCATATAAATTGTTAAGTTCTGAATAATTAAAATGCAATGTTAAACCAGAAAAGCACAAACTAACACAACAAACATGTTTTCTACAGGTGTAAAACAAAAATGTAGTTACAACATACAATCCCCCTTAATAAAAGTGAATATAAAAGTGTTGACATACAACACGTTCTAAACTGACACGATTTTAATGAAGTGGTTACCCTTTTGAAGTAGACATAGATGTATTGAGTGAAGCTTAATAGTGCCCAAGTTTTGTTTTTTTAATGGAACCCATGTTCATTGGCTGTATTGTGCCAAGTCTCCAATGAGTGAACCACCCATCCAAAGGCTGCTTCTTTCATGCTCTGCCACCAGATTATTGTAAACCATACCAAGCAGTTACTGCAGGACATGCTTGAATACCATACCTGACCGAAACCCAACACAACCTCAGTCTGTATTCTATGAAGTTTTCTTAGATTTTGATTTTCACACATGATCATGTGTTATCAGCTACAATGTCCTAGATCTTATTTCAACTAAAATTTACAGTAAGATTCAGGTTAGGTAATTTACAAGTGTCACCTCCTTTTCTTAAAATATTACCTTATAACATTTAAGTCTTCTTAGGATTTCTACACCAAAAGTGTATGGGTGGTGTGATACTAGAACAGTTGTTTATAGTACTGAGATCCAAAATCTGAAAACATAAATATGACAGTATGTGAAAAGGCTAGCCCTAATTTATCAGTTCTTTGTTTAATATGCTGGATTGAATTAAGCATCAGTTCAACAGCTGGTTTAAATTCTGTGCTTGGGTGGGGAAAGTACCTTGGGCAATACTTTCTACTGTGATTGCAAGCGGTTACACTACTACTTCCAAGTGAAAAAAAAAGAACATTATACATTTGGAAGCGACAATGTATCTCAAACGTATACTCTTTATAAGGAAAGTAACATTACTCGTCTAATCTAGCCGCTTTTTACTGAGTGTGCAATTCCTTTAACGTCTTGTGAGATTCTTGGGGCAGCACACGGATCATTTCTAGCTATTTCAATGCTTTGGCTCTATTACAGACAGAGGTCTATGTGACTACACATAACTGGAAACATCTGGACCCAACACTGTACACATGCATATAATTATGTTGAAAGATGTATTTTTCCCGTTATTTTGGCGATTCGAAACCTGCACATTTAACTCTTTTCACTTCAAAATGCAGCCGCGAAGGAAAGCGTCCCCACTTGTCAATGTAATAGTTAACCATATACAGTATCTCCATATTTTTTAAAATGTTTGCACGTACCATGGAAATAAAAAAGGCGTTCACACCGTACCGAAGCAGCACAGAAATAACTTCTAGGCCTTAATTAAGAATATTTCATTCGGACGCAGTTTTAATTTACTAATCATATATTAGCTGTTTCACTAACCACTCTCAGGTGAAACATATCTTGAGGAAAGAATTCTTTAAGAGAATTGCCTTTCGGTAGCGATCTATCTCATACGCATACTTCCACTCTAGTCCATGGCTGTTACCATCAGAATACTTTAACCTATATAAAAGTGGATCATATCGACTGGGTTTAAAGATGCGGACACGAAATAAAAACTACGCACCTACCAAAGCGGTAACTCCCACAATTCTACTGCTGCCACTCCTCTATGCAGCACGTGCTTTTTCACAAACCTTGCCTCTCTCTTAGGGCCCCATAATATTGCCTGTTATTTTACTTTTAGATCGCATGCAATATGTGCAGTTTGAAATAGGTTTGTGCGTCCTTTTCTTTTCTAATTAAGTTTTAAGAAGTCTGAATATTCAGAACTTATTAAATGAAATATTCTTCATTGTGGGAAGCGGTTTTGAATCTGGCATTTTTGTGAACGGCCCGGTGTGTGGGGTCCTGAGTCAATGTGGTGTGCTTCAGCTTCTTACGTTTGTGTGTTTAGGATGGAAGGGCTGTAGTTTGTTTTGATCGTGTTTCATTTCAAATCTTAGTTTTCTGATACGTTTTTTTGTGTCTTCTTTGCGTTTGTTACCATGATGCCCGGGGAGAATCACTCTCAAGCAGCAGGAATTGCTTCAGATGCAACAGCAGGAACTTGTCAGAACTGTAACGCTTTGCAGCAGGTAGGTAAATGGTATTTGTAGAATAGTAAATCTGCGGTGGTGTTATTTAAGCTTCTAATTGTACGTTTTATCAAAACTTTACCTTTGTTAATATAATCATATCATCACAGATAACAAAATATTTTATTTATATAGCTAAATTATATTGGACCTCAAGTATTTTTAAATTAATGTTCATCTTGAACTATCAAATGTATCAAGTGTTCATTCGAAATTTGATAACTCGTAACATTTTTCCCGTAAATTGGTTTTATTCTGTCAAGAGTGAATACCGAGATCATTTTTGCATTTACGGTTGCAGATATACTAAGCACCTAAGAAGATCTTGTCTTTGAAGTGTGATGATGCTAAGACATCTGTGGTCGTCCCAACTTATTGATAAAGAACTGGATGCACATTAAAAAGTGCTAAATACGAACTTCCACAAATATGTGAACTCCTTTTGCTATATTTTTACAAAGGAACTACCACACTGAATCAGGAGTGTTGTTCAAATTGTTATCTAAAATATACGTTTTAGGTAAAAAAAAACATTCTTTAAAAGTTATGGGTGACCAATTTTCTTATCGCCGATTCGTTATATTTGTTGTTATAATAAATGAAACGATTTGTCATTGTGTGTGTGTGATCTAAGGATGACTGATCAGTGTTGCCTCTAAATCGGGTGTGTCAATCACGATTCGCGGCCAGGTCCCTGGGGAGGTTGCTGTCTTGACAAGCCTGCGTAGCACACACAAAGAAGGGACCCTTGGTGATGATGCTGCAACTGTCTCGCACACACATCGCTCTCTGCAGGGTCCCCGCGTCTGGCCTATCAACGCGTTCTTGTTTGAAGACAAGGGCATGTCTTTGCATTCAATCGGTGGAAAAATTGATACGGCGAGACCTGTACACACATCCTGCAGACGTTGGGGCATCCTCAGTCACTAAACCACCATTGGCCTATCAGGAACTCAACGGGAGGGTTTTTATGATCTCAAAACGATATTTTGTGGTTGTATAGTGGTCTTGTAATCAGTGCAATGATGGTCTTGTCATCAAGTTTTCCTAAAAAAAAAGAAAAATGTTAATTCTAATAATCCCCCTCTATGAATTGGCTTCATTACTCTGCTCTCCTCCCCACTGATAGCTGGTGTGTGGTGAGCGTTCTGGCGCACTATGGCTGCCGGCACATCATCCAGGTGGGGCTTGGTGGTGGTGGTGGTGGAGGGGAGTCCCCATTACCTGTAAAGCGCTTTGAGTGGATTGTCCAGAAAAGTGCTATATAAGTGTAAGCAATTCATTAAATTAATTTGATTCCAGAGAAGTGAGGCTACTTATTTCTTCATAGAAGTGAAAGGAAAACTAACAGATTTAATTTATAGAGTAGGGAGCTTTTGTCAAAGACCGGTAGCAATAATAATAGTGTATTTATTGCTCTTTTTGTATCACTGTTATTTAGCAAATCGTATTTCACATTTTCTGTATTCCTTTTGTCATTCATCATTCCTTTAACTTTGCCTTTTGCTGTTTTTTTTTTTCTTAGTTGTAAACGCTAAACTGCAAACTGCTTTTTATTTAATACAGGGGCAGAGGGTCTTTACCAACGACACATATACTGTATATATACTCATCCTTTGAACTGTAATGCAAAATTTTGTTTAGAACAGTGAAATTCCCATTACTTTACATGTAACTTTCAGCCTGTTTCCAAAGTCTATAAAATAGCAATATTACTGTTACCTTAAGCAAACTGAATTGTCAAAAATAAGAACATGGTTGTGTGTTAAAATAATCAGCCTATTTATTTCAGTAGAGTAGTTAAGAGTGAATGTGAAAAATTGCAAACTGTTGAACATTAGCACAGTGATATTAAGTTCAAGGCAGTGCTAATGATTTTTAACTGCTCACTATTTTTAATCATTTGTAATACTTCAAGCTTTGAAGCAAGAGTTTTGTTTACAGTTGTGCATTTACTGCTGCTGGTTGCTGAACAAAATATCCCCATAATATTCCTTACCAAAGAACAGAGATTTGTGCAGTGTGCCGTGATCACAATTATGATATTTCAAGAAACTGCGGCTATTAATGCTGAAAAAAGATTTTGTGATAGGAGGATGCATGTTTAATTACCTTACTTGGGGGGGGAAGGTTACATTAGCATTTTTGAAATGGTGGCGATATATCCTTGTAAAATGAACTCCAAAAATGAGAATCAGTACCAGTATGTAATACTATGTCATGGCTTTTGGTAACTTATGGAATTGGTTGCTTGAAGAACATTTAAATCAAATATTGATCGCCATAAGAAATGAGTTTGACACCCTGGAGTGCTAGAAACTACATTTTATAACCAAGGAAATGTTTGGTTGCATTATAACCCTTAGTTATGGGTGATGTCTTTTCCTTTTAAGTATTTTGGAATTAAGTATTTGCACTTGCATAGGTTCTTCAACATGTACTGCTAATACCCAGTCCAGTGGGTCACCATTGAGGAAAAACAAGCATGCAAGGTCTAAAGAAGGAACTTTTTCACATTGGCACAACTGGGCATGTAAAGAATAACCCAGAAAGGACACCATCCCTGCACCTACAGTTGTTGGCAATTTTGTAGCAATGTGGATAAAATGTAGGCAGTTAATTCACAAACAGGGCCTACTTATACCACATTGAACTGGACATTTTAAAATGCATGTTGCTGTGTAATGGAGAACAATTTACAGGGTCTTCTTGTCTTTGTCAACAATGCTCCATATTCATTATACTTATTTTAAATATAATAATTAAGCTGGATAATGTATATAATTAGCATTATATAATACAAAGCACTCTATTATTATGTCCCATGTCCCCTTTACACCGAAGAAGAGCATTATGATTCTTGCTAGGTTGTCCCAGAAGAGCTAGTGCAGGCTGGTAAAGGTCATTCAACAGAGTCATTTATATAGATTGGCTGCCTTGTAACTGTAAATTCTTCAGGGTTTATACATATGAAATAAACTAAGTAAAATGGGAGAGAATTTTGTGTTCAGTTTAGGTTTTAATAGAATTTTTAAACTATCCAAAATGGCAAAACCACTTCCCTTTTTAACTACAGGACTTCAGTCTTAGACATACCTGTAAATCAGTTGCTTGTATGGGTCAGGAAGAAGCATTAAATGTAACTTCAATGTCTACAAGTTCGAATATTATACTTGCAACAATTTAATATTTTGTTTGATCTCTTGTTCCAGAATCTGAATGAATATGTGGCAACACTGCTGGCTTTGAAGCAAAAGATAATTGACACTGAGTAAGCAAGTTTTTTTTTCATTTTTTCTTAATATCGGTTTGATTTTATATTTGTGTCTTTACTGTAATACAATATGGTGAAAGAAGTAAACCTTTAATGAACAAGGACATAAAAACTGTATCAAAGACGCTTTTGTACAGATCCCATTATAACTGCTTGTAGTATAAAATATGCTTGTCACAATTCAAATATGCTTATCATTATTCTTCATTGATGGTGTACTGAAAAGTGCTGCAACAGTGGACTGCCTGATTTGGCTTCAGATGTCAGACAGTTGTTTGGGCTATGCAACATTCAGTGCCAAAAGATGTGCCTGTGCTCTCAGTGTGCTGCAATGTAGAGTACATTATTTTCAGAGAGATTCAACATGCCTTAGTTCCAATTAGTTAGTGCCTTAGTTCCACCCTCTTCTCTGAACAGCAGGAAAATCTTGTTTTTATTATTCCATTGAAAGAAGAATCACATTGCACGACAGTGTAACCTGTTTCTAATGCCAAAACTGATGTACTGATGAAGAATAATAAATTACTTCATTCTGAATACATTTTTTTGCTCAAGATAGTATTGCGTTGCTATCATTGTATTTCTATAAGAATGATTCTTCACTTCTTTTTCACCTGTGTCTTTTCTTCTTTATATCCCGTGTTTCCAATAAACCTAACCCACTGTTACAGAGTCTTCTGAAAGGTATTGCAAGGCTTTCTGCCCTCCCAATACAAGAGTCTCTGTCTCACAAAACATTTAATGATTCTAGCTGCAGTACATTAGGACTCTTTATTTCAAACAATTTAGAACAACTCTTTTGTCTGATAAAAATTTCTGAATTCTAGTACTATGTTGGAAACTTCAGTGACATTGAGAATGTAAATGTAAAAATACCATCATATATAACATTTTAAATTTGTTTCTCAATTTTCTTTTCCAGTCATCTGCTTATGGAATATCAAGAAAAATGTGATGATATCCTTTTCTGAATTTCAGTTGATCTTGAATGACTGTTGTTTTAACATGTTTAAAATAAAAATAAAATAGAATGTAAGTTCAGCAGAGAAGTCTTTTTCTAAAAACAGAGACTACAATGCAAATGGGAATAAATACTATTCTCACATTTGACTCATAATGTTTCTGTTTGAATTGCAAAATCATAAGGTAAGGTATTGTGCTACTGTGCTGTAAGAGATGAGAAAGTTTCTCATCTCTTGAAGATGACAGAATTCTTTTTGAAAATGTTTCCATCTTTGTCGGATTTTCTTTAATAACTTAGTACAGCTCCAGAAAGCTCAAAGGTAAGTTCAGAAGCTGTTAAAATTGTTTGCCCTTGTTTAATATCTGTATTATATCTGTTGATATTTTAATATTTTGCATACATTTTTATAAGTGGTCTGTATTTCAAATAGTTCTGCACTAATTTATGAAGCTGAGTAAATATTGAGTATTTTTGTCAGTGGTTCTGCTTCTTCAGAGTTTACTAAAAGTGTATTGTATAAAAATAGCTGAGATGTTCTAGAAAAGTAACTTTAGAAATATGCTGTCAATGTTCACACACCCTGTGTTTTTTGACCTAACATTTTGATTTTATGGTTTTTCTTTAGGGAGACTAGCTCTCTCCATCATCAACTAGATGAATTGTTCTTGAAATTGACACCACTGGAAAAGCAAAATGAGGAATTTGAGGCAATGAAGTCTGAATTAGAAGAGAAGAGGGTATGTATCACACACAAATGGTCTTATAGCATTTTATTGGATATTTCATCGATGACCTGAATTATTAAATCATGATCTAAAGTCAAAAGAAAATTTTACTCTGTAGTAGATCATTATCAAATTAATACTGAAGTTTAAACACTTCTAAAGTTGCATGAATTTCCTTAATTGGATCTCACATTACAATCTCTTGTTAGAGCTAAAATTTTATGTATGGAACTAAATTTTTTTTCCTATGTAACCTCTCTTGTCATTACAGAGCTCCCTAAAACTCTGTCAGCAAACGCTCCTGGAATCTGAAAGCCTGAAAGAAGAGATCCGTAAAACAGAATCTGTGTAAGAATTCATTCTTACTTCAAATTGAAGCACTTTTTTCCACTTTTGCTTTACAAATAATTACTTTCTCTTCTAATTTTAGAAAGAAGCAACTTGAAGATAAAGTGAAGAAACTTGAAGGTAAATAACCAGCTGTTCCTTATGTAATCCATTGATTTTTATCATGTGTTCAAGCATTTGCTAAAACTGTTACACCTTGGCAGGCTCAGTCATTCTGAACCAAACACTGAATGCATAATTTCATAAGCAGTCTCAGGTTTATTAGACTTTTATTAAAACAATCAACTACAATACCGTTTTGAGAGGTAGGGTGCTTTTAAGAGGTAGGTGGTCAAAATTAGTTATCATCTAAATGGTTTTCTTATTCATCTGTTTCGGAGTCTGATTAATGCTTATATTGTTCCAAAATTATTAAAAAACCTCAACAGTAATACCTGTGTCTAATGTTTTTGGAGCAACACGTTTTTACAAGATTTTAGCCCAGTTGCAATCACTCCAATTTTGGCTTAGTTCATGGAAAGCATGGTTAGCAACCACCTTGCATCTATAAGGGACCAGCTTGATCCCTTACAGTTTGCGTATAGGGCACTGAGAATGCTGCTCTCACTCTAGTTCATGAAAATAACAAGGTGGCTTCAAAAGCCAAACGCCTTTGTTTGCACTCTTTTTATTGATTTCGGCTCAGCTTTTAACACAAATTTACATTCTTTTAGGAAGACCTCTTATGCTTAATGTGAATGCCAGGGTTATTCTTTGAATTAAAGATTTTCTTACGGATCATCCTCAGAGGGTCTTGTTAAATGGAAACTGCTCAGATGAATTGGTTTTATGTACAGGGGCAGCTCATGGCAGTGTCTTGTCATTGTTGCTTTTTTTAGTCTATAAAAATGAGGGGACTCTTTATAGTGCAAATGTTAAACTGATTAAAAAATGGCTCTCTTTGGCCTTCTGGTGAAAGATAATCCCTCAAATAAGAATGTATATTTCAATCAGTGCAGACGTTTTCTTGAATAGTAAGGGAAGGTGAAAAGCCACAAAAACAGCTGGGGGACATTTTTTATAGTGAGGTGAACAGAATGGCAAAAAGTTAAAGATGCCTCCCATCCCCTCAATTCTCATTTAGAGATGTTTCCATCTGGCCAACATTTCAGGTTCTCTAGAGCTGTTCGAAATGTGCATAAAAGGTTCTTTAACCCATACTCCAAACAAGTACCGAATGCAAGTTGTTAATGATATTTTCTTTGTTTGTGCCGGGTATTTACATTGTGATCAGTTTGATTTTACCTTTAAATATATGCTTTTCCATGTGTGATATGTTGTTCTGTTGTTGTGTATTTTAATTAATTGTATTATTTGTAATGGGGGAAACCTAAGAAATGTCCACGTTTAGTGGACAATAAAGTTAATCTAAATTAAGAATCTGTTACGTACTGAAAAACAAACAAGCAAACAGTGTTTTGTTTCCAGAGCTCACTAGCACTGGTATTAACTTTTTCTTCTTCTCAAAGATGCAGGAGAGAAACAGGGACAAGAGTTAAAGCAGCTAAAGATGGAAAAGAACATGCTGGAGAAAGAGTTGGACAAGACTCAGGTTAGAGTTGGACTAATGATGAAACTGTATTTGTTTATTTTTTCTGAATGTATCCAGTATATACATGTTTAATTGTGGAATATATTATTTTGTTACAGAGCTCTCTAAAGCTCTGTCAGCAGATGCGTCTGGACTATGAAAACCAGAAAGAAGAGATCAGTAAAACGGAGTCTGTGTAAGAATTCATTTGTATTTCAAATTGAAGTACCTTTCCCCCCCCCTTCCACTTTACAAGTAAGTACTTCCTCTTCTAATTTCAGAAAGAAGCAACTTGAAGATAAAGTGAAGAAACTTGAAGGTCAGTACCCATTTTCTTTCCTTATGTCGTGCATTGATATCATGGTTTTGAGCATTTGCTGAAAATATTCCAACCCTGGGATGCTAGGTTATTCTGGAATGCAAATTGTCGTAATTACATTAATTAAGTTAGTATAGAGTTAAAAGAATTAAAAGGACAAAATAGAGGGTGCCATAGTGGTGCAGTGTTTAGCAGTGCTGCCTTGCAGCACTGGGGCCTAGGTTCAAGTCCTAGGCTGACATCTTATGTAGTCTCCAAATTTCCACATGTCCATTTGGGTTTTCTCCCACAGTTCGAAGACATACTAGTACTGTAGGTTAATGGCTTTTGGGATTTTAGGCTTTGTCTGCGTGTACCCAACGATGGACTGGCGTCCTGTCCAGGGTGTATCCTGCTTTGTGCTTGTTTTTTGCCAGGATAGTCTCTGGCTCCCCTGTGATACTGCATTCGATAAAGCAGTTCGAAAATGGATGAATGGAATAAAACAGAACCTAAGAATCCTTTTCTTACTTACAGAAGAACAATCAAAACATGATTTGTTTGCAAAGTCCGCTAACACTGGTGTTTTCTTACCCTTCAAAGAAACAAGAGCGAGTCAGAGCCAAGAGATAAAGCAGCTGAAAATGGAAAAGAACATGTTGGAGAAAGATTTGCAGAAGACTCAGGTCAGGGTCTAACTAACATTCTACGTATGTAATTACCTTTTGAATGTATGCAGTAAATGAATATTAAATTGCAAGAAATAGATTTAAGTATTATTTACTTTTTTACATCATGTAGATGATATTCTTAGTTCAGAGGCTATATAGAAGAGTCTTAGGAAGTACGTTTTCTTTCTTGCTGCAGTGATCAGATGAGGATAAAACAGCAGTGACAGCTCTCAGCATACGGCAGTATGAGATGATGCAGTGTGTCCTGTAATATTAAAAATACATTTCATAGTCACTTTGATTTAAAAATGTTGAGACCTCATTTATCATTGAAGTCAAGACACTCTTTTAATGGCTGCTAAGTCTTAAAAAAAAAAAAATTGAGATGTCTTCAAAGGTTCCTGTCTTCCACAGGAAGTTGAAAGTAGCATCAGACCTGTCTCAGATTTACTTTGGTTATCCCTATAAAGTGTTTTGGACATCACTGACAGGTAGCTTGTGTGTGTTTTAGAAAAATGCAATTTTTATTGCTGTTAAAATGTTTAACTGTACATTTTTATTTAAATTCAATGGCAAAATGGTAAGTTACTATAATACAAAATAAGTGGTTAGATATGCATACTAACTGCCTCTGTATCTTAGCATCATATGTCATAAAGGTATTGTGTATTGTAGTTCTAAGGGCAGTACCAGGTATACCACTGCTAGGGATAGTAAAGTGGATCCCAGCGGACTTCATTGGATAAATCATTGGGTATGGGGACAGTTTAGACTTACCAGTCAAAACTGGGGCATCTGGCAAAAGCCCAAACACAGGAAGAGATGCAAACAAACCTACTGGCAAATCCTGTCCCAAATCCTGGAACTGAACAGTGAAGAAACAGTACTTACCACCATGCCTCCATATTTTTCAGTAATTGCATGATTTATTTAATTAATGCCATTTTTCTTTGCTTTACAGTTTAATCTTGAAAAACTGGAGGAAGAAAATAGGCAAAAAGGTATTTTAAGTTTTTTTTTCATGCTTTAATGAACTGCAAAATTGTGTTTACTTTAAGTTTAATCTTCTTTCTTTCCACAGATGTAAGGAGTGCATCAGTTCAAACAAATACACCAGAGGAAACGGGAGTAAAAATTGACCAAAGTAAGCAATGCTTATCGTTTTTGAAATTTGGAATAGACGTCTATAAAAATAGTTGGCAGAGATCTTTAAATTGCTAAGAAGTTCTTGAATTTCACCTAATGAAATTGTGAAGGGTTCTTTAAAGCCCTGGGAAATACTTCGTTCCTAACAAAGTAATTGCTAACACCTTTCAGAATCATGTTAATTAAAAGCTTGCCATCATAATTATTATTAATTAATAATTGCCTACACTTATATAGCGCTTTTCTGGACACTCCACTCAAAGCCCTTTACAGGTAATGGGGATCTCTTCCACCACCACCAATAAACATCATAAACAAACTTAGCAAAAGTATTCAGATCTTTGCACTGTTTGTATATTTTGGTACTTCAATGTTTTCAGTCATAACACTTTGAATTAACAATTAATATTTGCAATGAAGCCTACTCCACATAGTCAAAGCAAAAAAGGGAAGGTGTAAATAATTAATGTGAATGGGAAAAAATGGAAATGTCATGATCGCATAGTTTTCAGACCCTGTGCTGTTGTAAACTTAATTTACAACCCTTAAGTCACTTATTTATTTCAGTGTCTCCTGTTATTATTCTGAAATCATAAGAGCAGTGATATCTTTCATGACCTCTCTCTGTATTTTTCTCATGATCATGTCTACACCATCTATGCTGTCAAGCATTGGGATAACATTATGCTATGGGGCTGGTCCTCACCATCAGGGACTGAAAAGCTTGTTGTAGTGAGATGAAAATGGATGGAGCATAGTAGAGGCAAATACTAGAGGAAAACCTGTTTCAGTCTGCTGAAAAGGGAAAACTGAGGTGAAAATTCACCTTTCGGCATTTTGTCCAGAGTACAAGGCCGAAGCTTGTTGTTTGCACATCTAATTCCTGGATAGACTCGCACACAAGGCTTGACTGATTATGTGGATTCAGCTTGCATAGTTCATGGCACAGAAGCAGCTTCTTTTCCATTTCATAGCGTCGACAGTAAATTTTAACTTGGATAACCTTCTCCAAATATCAAATATCAATGGCTAGAACAAATGTTAACCACATATTCTGTGAAGGTTACACAGGTGGTGTAGTGGTTAGAGATAAAGGGCTTGTGAATATAGGGCTGTACACTTTATACAATATGCAGTACACCTTCTAAGCTTAACACCACCAGTTTGGACATAGGAAGAAGCATATTACTTTCTGCAGGTCTGCAGACTAGATATAACAAAAGTGCAAGAACAAGGAAGGAAGGACCATGTGACCAAGAAATTGTGGTTTTGCAATCAATGAATGCAACGATTTCTGGAGAAAGTTATTACCCTTAGCTGTTGCTGTTGTCTGAGTTCGCCAATAAGATGTGTAAGACACAAAAATTTAACTTAAGCTTTAAACTTAAATAAGCTAAGCTAGGAAACAGTGTGCAAGATAAGAAAATAAATCAAAGAAAACTGTTTGAGGAAGGCTGCAAAGCAGATTGAAAATGGGTGATGCACAACTACAAAAATTTAAAATGGACGTTTTTCAGAAAATCTCTAAAGGAAACTAGCAAAATAGATGACAAAAACAACTTGGACAGTTTCAGAAAGTGTTTCTGTGAAAAATTAAAGCATAAAAATACCCCATCCTTTAATCCTATGCTACGTATTAAACAAATTATGAAAGAGCATAGTTAACCGTTACAAAATACTAAATGTTATGGAGGGTTGTTTCACAGCTTTTAGCTTTAGGAAGCAAGCTTTAATTAAAATTAATGTCCTTGAAAACTACATTTTGGTCCATGGAAAAAATCCTGTTTATTACAATAACACTAGAAATGTACTCCCAATAAATTAAATATTACTTCATTGAATCATGAGGCATTTGTCAGTGTATCATAAAATCTGCTGCAAACCACCTCTTAACATTTCCTTGGGTTCTTTAGAGTCCAGACATGGGTGTTGAGTGCTTTTAATGCGACAGCTGTGATTCACACATCCTCATTCCATTAATGACCCAGTAACAGTTATAATACCGTCCCTTGGTCTTAAATGGAGCTTGGCATTTTTTTCAAACCCATCTTTCCCATTCACACTAATGATTTAAAACGGCACCATTGCTGGTACTAATGCTTTCATTTTCATGATTAAATGGGGCTTATGTGTAAATGATTTATTTTCCCTTTTAAACTTCTCCTTATTATTTCTGAATCTCCACTTCAAATCATTTAACGCTGTCAAGTATCACTTAAAATGAGCACCAACATATTAAGATCTGTTAAGTTCCAGATGAAATATTTTTTTAAAATGAATTTTCTTCAGTTTAGGCTTCATAACTGTCACCAACAGCAACCCATTTTATCATAGTTTGAAATGAAGAATATGAAATAGTGCCCATTTTACATGTTTTATCTGTGTCATGCTAAGTTTTACTACAGGCACTGTGTTGCATTAGTAAATAATAACGTGTCAAAGGATTTTGTAAGCACATACAGCTACTCTGATGTCCTGTATATTTCATATATATATATGCAATTGTGGATGAAGTTCAAGATAATTCTAACAGTCAACTTCTACACGTGAAGACAAATGAAGCTTATTATCTATATGAACCAAACATCTGAAAATGTATATTTTTTTATTTCTTTGCATATAATTATGGAGCACCATAAGCAAAAATAAACCTTTCTTCATGTAAATATTAAAACTCAGTAAATATGACTTACATTACTTAACAATTAAAAGTGAAAAATGTTATGTTTAATCCATAATGTAATCTTTTTTTATGTGTTTCAGCCAAAGTCAGGATGCTTTTACAAGAACTCTGGATGTGTTTAGAACCTTCCTCTCAGATATCACAAGCTACAGACAGACAACATTTTCCATTTAAAGGTAATTTATTTTGAATTGTATATTTTGAATGTATAAACAGCAAATGTTGACATGCTGCTTGATTGGGTTACCAGTTCCTTGACGTTTAGATTTAACTTTTCAGCATTCTTTTTTTGCAATAGAATAAAACAAATGAATCCTTAGCCTCCTAGCTACTATATAGATTATTAATTTTGTAAAGGGGTTATGTGGTGCGAAAATTACTAAGTCGTTTTTTGGTTTGTTGCAGAGACAGGCTTACACAGGAGAACCAGCAATCCACATCCTTGTGTCCAGCCAACCTTGTCTAAAAGTCCTTTGAAGCATCAAATTCAGAACACCCAGCCACTCTTTCACAGAAGCCCATCAGAAGACCTTCAGTGTTATGAGCCAATTAGATTTCAAAGTAATAGTTCGAAGTCTCCTGTGTTACCTGTGCCTGAATCTGCAGGCACAATGCACAAAAAAGGAAAGCGTAAAAGAAAAAGGTACAGTGGGAAGTCAGAAGAGGATGTTCACATAGAGGCTGTTGTAAGTGAGGAATCTAAGGAACTAACTGTAAATGACAATGTGAATGAACAGCTTGAGTTTCTCTCAAATAAGGAAAAAGAACATAGTCCACTAATCCGAGGTGATATTGAAGAAGTACTGGAGTGTTTCAAGCCTCTACCCCCAGTGCTATCTCCATTGAACCTTTCACTGCCTAATAGTGAGGTAAGGATATATTGGAAGCTATACTTCTTTATTTGCACTGCAAATGTTTTTTTAGTTTAAAAAAAAAACATCATGCCCAGACTGCCTAAGGACATATGATGTGAAAGAAAAGGAATGTTCACAATTTCATGTTTTGGACGTGAAACAGTATGTTCTTTCTCATAGATCCTACACTTGTATGATGGTCAGAAAAATAATTGATGATTGCAAAATGAAATGTTTCTGGTGTATATGAATATATATATGAATTTGTGTGTATTTTGTAGATGTCTGACTTTTTTATACTTTCTTGCAGGATTCCCTATTTGGATATATGTCCGATTCAAGCGCTGAAGAGAAGGGAGTTCGATTTTGTGATGTAACTAAAGAGAAAGATAAAACACTTTCTGAGAAATCTGATCCCAGTTGTATGAAAGAATATTATGAGGGTGAGATACCTTCCAGTTTACCCAAATCTGGGCATGAGCACCCGACCCAGAATGCAGGCTTGTCTTTAGGAAATAACCTGACCGTCTCTCCTACTGTTCCTCAAATTTCTGATGAAACTGTACCTTGTGGTTCGTTGGACATATGTAATGAATATCACACATCAGGACATAAGGACAATGGCAGCAACTTGCTTTCCCCCGAGTGTCAGCAAATTAATACAGAAAACCTTACTTTCTCAGTCCCAACTGAAGAGACAAGATATCCAGAGGTTCCTTCACATAAAGAGGCATCTCAGTGCAGTGTCTTAGAAAATGAGGAGCCAAAACAAAACAATGGAAAATTAAACTCCTTGCAGTGTGAGAAAGATATTGTGGACGAATGCCCTGTGTCTCTTCCTGATTGTCTTGTTAAAGACTCTTTATCTGAAGAACATCTTAGCCCAAATGACACTGAAAACTCAAATACAGAATACATGGAGATAGAGCAAAGCAAACAAGAAGTAAGTGAAATGGATACAGAATGTTCTCTTGCTGGAGAGACAGAAATACATAAGAAACAGCCTTCTAGTCCATTGTGTACAGCTGAAAGAAAACTACAAGAAACGGATAAAACAGACATTGTTTGCTCAATCAGAGACGATAGGGAGGTATGCAGTGCACAAGATATGCTTTTCCAGACTGCTCCTGCAAATGCTGACTGCAAAGAAAAAGAAAGCACGGGATCCTGTTCAAGGGTTTCTGTAAAACTGCAAGAACATAGTGAAACAGAGGAACAGTTTACAAAATACAACACGACTGAACAGGAGCCTGAAAGTGAAACTGAACAAACAGTGTTAAAGGATTCAGCTGATGGGTCTTTACCAAAACATGAGAGCTTAGGAGAGCTGAATAGCTGTGAGGAAAGTTGTAAAAAAGTGAATTCAGAACATACTGAGGAGGAAAGGTTTGTAGACTATCTTAAAGTTCAAACTAGTGCATCAGATTCAACTAAAAACATAATATCCCCACAAAATAACTCAAGTTTATCTGACGATGAAATGGAACAAACCAAAAGAAAAATCACGGTTGATGTGATGGAGAACTGCCATGTCTTGCAAAAACGTGAAACGACAGAACCTTCTGTGAAACAAAATATTGACACATTAATAGAAAGTGCGCCATCATCTGACATTACGCAATGTGTGAAAGGTGAAATGATGTCTACAGACAAGGGAACTGTAGAAGGACCATTATGTGGCTTACCAGTAGATTCAGATAAAGGGCTTTGTGAATTTCAAGAAACTGAGTCAGAGAAAATTAGTGAATTGGACAGTAGTAACCCTGAGTCACTTCAGCATGATGCTGAGTGCCCAAGAGGAACAGACAGAGGAGTACCTTTGGGAAGTGATTTGTCCATTTTGGATGAACATAGTTCAGCACAAAATCTTTTTAAAGATGCTGACAATGCAGATAAAGAGGCAATAAATCAAACTTGCAGTAATGGAAACCCTAATGTGAGTAAAAATGACATGTCTTCCGTGGAACAGAAAGTCAAAGATGAAAAAATAATGAAAGAAAGTAGATTAAATGATTCTTTGGAAGAGACAGATTCATCAGATGATCAAGAAGGTTGCATACTTCAAAGGAAAGTTAAGACAAGCCAGCGTGCTGAAAGCCATGATTCTAATGAAAAGGCAAACACTGTGCTTCATTCACATCAAGATTTCACAAAATTAGAGGATCCTCTTCCAGAAGATGTGAAAGTAACTTCTAATGAGTCTGAATCTCAGAGCATCTCTGTCATGTCCAAAAATACATTTCCCTCCTTAGGCGATAATTCTGACATTCAACAGTGTGTGTCAACTGGTGGAATAAACACAGATGTTCCCAAAGGAAACGAACAAGTAGATGAGAGTGAGCCAGAGTCCACTTTAAAAATATCTGGTACATGCTTATTTGATAATGATATTAAAACTTCAAATGATTGTGAGGTGACAGGGGATGAAAAGGACTTGAATGAAAGCAAAGCTTGTGGTCTTGCTAACATTTTACTTGAATCAAGGAATATTACGGAAGCAAATAATCTGAGTTCTGGAATTCCCAAACTTCCCTCACAATCAGTATTAGAAAGTGAATCAGATACCCATCACGGATACGAGAAATGTAATGAAAGTGCTTTGTGTAAAGTGACTGAAGCAGTGTTTGTTAATGCACCTGAGTGTATTAACAGAAATGGAGAAATTGCAAAACCTGAAGTATGTCCTCTGAGTGCTGTTAAGACTGTGACTTCTAATGATTCAGCAGTTCCTGATTGTACACGACCACAGCCTTTTTCTGCAGAAGATGGAGTAAAAAGAAAAATAATCCATGCAGATCCTCCAGCACAGGCTACTGCAGATACCCCTCTCTCACCAAAGCCTTCCCCAGAATCTATAAAGAAAGTTCGCTCCAAAATGGGCCCGCCTCTCCCTCCACTTCTGCAGCCACTACCTGCAACGCCTCCAGCATCCCGGAAACGTCTTTCCCCTTCAAAGTCCTCATCTAGCAGGTTGTTTTGTCCTTCACCAGTGGATGAACAGGTTTCTTCCGTGAAAGAAAAACCAGCAACTTCAATTACGTCACCACTTTCAAATGAGCCAAATAACTCCCCATTCTGGGCTACGCCGTCCCCCTCAGACGTTTGTAAAAGCAGGGTGGTTTCCTCTCCATTGCAATTCTGCGCAACTACCCCAAAACATGCTCTTCCAGTGCCTGGCAGACTTCCTCCTTCAGCGTTAGCATCTTCCACCTCCTCTAACTTGCCTCAGGAGAACTCTGTGAGAATCCTGGATTCTATGTATCCAGAACTCTCGGCCCGTGCAATAACTCTTAATATTCTGCGAGGGAATGTTTGTCTTAACAGAGGTATGCCTGGAACTGGAAATGCTGCACCCAGATCTGCCAATCAGATCTCTGGCTTTAAATCCATTAATTCATCAACAACTGCTTTTACCAAAACAGGAAAGGCTTGTGAATCGGAAGGCAGCAGTTTCCAGCACCCATCAGATAATTCCGAAATCTGTGATTCAGGTTTATTAGGTAAGCCTAAACAAGCAGGAAAAAGAGTTAGCGTACTTTTGCCAAGAAGTGCCAAAAGACTTCGGTTAGATAATGATTCACCAGTTCCTGAAAAGACTATTTTGCCTTTTCCATCTTGTGAGAATTCTACAGAGCTTCTTGATGGAGAGTCTAGATTACGTAACCAAGGTCAAAATTTACAGTCTGTTGAAAAGGAAGCAGATGTCAAAAAAATCCCATCACATAATCCACCCGAGGCAATATTAAATGCATTGAAGAAAATTGAAAACACCTGTTTTGATTTGCTACCTGTAATTAGAAGTCATATACACGTTGGAAAAATTCCTCAGGTACCAGTGCTGAGAGATGAAGAGCGTGAGGTCATTCACGGATTTTGTGTAGTGAACAAGGTCAGTATTTTTTATTATTTTTTAAACAGAACCCTGGAGCTTTGATTTAATATGACTCCACATCCTATGACACATAGGAGTATTGGTATACTCTGCAATATCGTGAAATATACTACTGTGTTAAGCATAGTCAGGGGTAAAAGCTATAAAAAGAAATACAGTGGTTCATTGCACAGAGTGTACGTCCTGTAAAAAGGAAGATAATTGATTCTTGTAATACAGGAACCAGTGTCCTATTTCATTGAGACCTCTTAAGCTTGATTATCTTCATGTTTTTAAATAAGACTAAATTTAAATGCTTTTGGAAGTACATCTGTGTTTGGAAATACAGCACCTGCAGTGCTGGGGAATGTAACAGTAATAAACTGTTACAAAGATTATATTTTACAAAGAAAACAAAATTGTCTGTTTACTGATAACAGGACAAAATAAACTTGTACATTAAAAATTGAATTGGTGAATGAGTGTAGAATTAAATGAAAGTAAGAAAAATATCTGCATGATTTTAATTTAACATACAGTACCTTTGTTGATTAACAAAATGGAAAATTCAGTTTGTGTCTGTTTAATAATCTTTTATTTTGCCGCTCTAAACAGTTTCTAATACTTGGGTCATGTACTGATCTAGGTATAACTATATAAATTGCAGACCTTTGTATTCATAGTAAGAGGACACTTTACATTTACCAACAAATGTTTTATTCTGATTTTTCTCTTTTTTCAAAGCTTTCAGGATTCAAAAATGGAATATTTTGATTATATGGAAATATATTAGTTCTGAGCAATTAATATGTATTTTTATGTGTAATGTCCCCAAGAAAAAAAAAACGTTTTTTGAATAGAAATCCTGAACTCAGCTTGAGAGGTTATCTTCAAGTTTTGAATCCCAAAAAGATTAAAATATTTCATGTAGATATTTATATTATTCTTTTCTAGTTTGTCTAGATTGTGTTAAAATTTAGATGTTTAGAAAAATAACTTATTTTCAAAATTTTAATTGAAGCACTTGGCAGAAGATTTGCTGTCCAGCATTCTTACGAAGATGAAATCTGAGAAGAACACTTTGGAGAGTAACCATCTTCAGGCCCTTTGTAGAGTTTATGTTGGAATTTGTCGGCAGCAGGGAGACTTGGAAAGAGCCCGTGTGTTTGCATACAGCATATTGAAAGAAGGTGAAATTTTGCTTTATAGACAAAATAACTGCAGAAGTTATTGGTAATGTAATTTCTGTATTTCATCTATAGGTACAATAAATAACCTGATGCTTAAATTGTACTCTCGTTATATAAAACTTAACTAAGAGTTTATTCTGAGCTTTTATTATGTTAATCCTTCACATACTACAAAGTCTTGCACATCAAAAATGAGTTCCTTCAAGAATAGTTTAGCTTCCTGAAAAAATTCTGTCCAGTGTTCTCTGCATCAAGTGAAATGCCGTACTATAGCTATAGCATGTTATTGTCATGTTACCACATGTTCTGGTAAGGAAGTGGATTAACTCCGTTTACATATGAGATTTAAGAAAAAACATAGACACATCCTCTTACCTTTTAAAGCAATACCTGTTGTTTGCTTACTCACTTTGCTTACCAACTTTACTTATTTACCTTATTGTATATACTTGCTTACTGACTTTACTTGTGTTGCTTGCTTTACTTTCTTAACTTACTGACTGAATTAAATTAGCTTACTTCCCCTTACTGTACTTGCTTACATTTCTTACTTTTTTTTACTTGACTCACTGGCTTACTTTACTTCACTTGCTTACTTATTTTGCTTGCTTTCTTTACTTACCTTACGTACTTTACCGGCTTTACTTGCTTTACCTATTCGCTTGCTTACTTACTAACTTACTGAATACCTGACTGACTTACTATACTGAATTTTCTTTACTTGCTTGCTTTCTTTACTTTGATTACTTATTTTATTCACTTAACTTATTCTTACTTCACTTAACTTATTCTTACTTCACCTACCTTATTTACTTTGCCTACTGTACTTAATTTACTTATTCTTTACTTAGTGCATTTACTTGCTTAATTTCTTCACTTGCTTTCTTTACTTAACTAAACTTGCCGTATGACTGAATTACTATACTTAATTTGCTTTACTTATCTTACTTTGCTTGCTTGTTTAACTTTTACTTACTTAACCTACTTTCTTCACTTGCTTAGCTTTCTTAACTTAACTATTTACTTAGTTTGATCACTGTACTTACCTCTACTTACTAATGTACGTACTGAATGACTAACGTACTGTACTAAATTTACTTTCCTTACTTAGCTTACTTGCTTACTTTAGTAACCTCACTTTAACTGACTGACTTTACTTGCTTAGCTTACTATTAAGAGCTGATTGGGGAAATACAATGACGTTTGAAGATTTTTTTTAATGTGTTCAAACAGTACATTTTCTTTTAATTAACTTTGGGTAGTAGTATGGAAGGGTTTGTTGACAGAGTTTATATATTCAGTCCTTTCAAGCAGAGACATCACATCTGCTGTTCCCCAATCCAGGCAGCTGTGGGAGCATGAAGGGCATCTTGAAAGACAAGTACAAATCTGATATTCTCCATCAGTACATGTGGCATTTTTAAATCTCTCTCTCCTTATTTTTCCCTTTATTTACTTGAAGATGTGAAAATGTGTTCTTAAAATTGCAGTTTTTTTGTTCAGTAATCAACAGGCTTTAATGTCATAGTATTACATTATGAGTATAGTAGTATGTTATGAGGGTGAGCAGATTTTTGTATTTTTTTGGCATTACTTTACATTTTGATGTCAAACTGTTTTTACATGTAGATTTTCCAGATTCAGCCAAAATGATCTTGTTCATCACTGCAACCTGGAGCAATATCTTCTCCTTCCCGGGATTAATTAATAAATCAATACAGGCCCTGGCGAAGCAAAGAGCAGAAGGAGAAGTCCTACAGTGTTTAACAGCTTACCTGGGTTGGGAGAAGGTATGAAATTACTTCAATATATCCATTAGCTAATTTTTCCAAATGTCTTAATGAAGAATATTTATGTATTCTAGTCATATTTATGTGTCCGGTACCTCTAGTGAGAACTGAACAGTAGAGGGCGATATCACCAAAGAAATAAATTTACATTGTTGCAGGGCACGGTCAACTGAGAACAGTATATGCAGTCGTTATTAACATGAGGTTTGACTGTAGAGAATTTTATTATTTGAATGCAAAGAAATGTTTAGCCTTATTAATCTGATATTTATTTTTATTTGACATAAATGCCATCATTTTATTTATTTGTTTCTTTGGTAACTGCATTCACCAATTTTTAATCTGAATGTCACATTAATGTTATTTGTATATACTTTTATCACTTTTTTTTAGAGTCCTCCATGTGATATAATAAAGTTACTCTCAAGTACACTTATTGTTCTTCAAATGGGAGTCAATATGAAATTCCAGGATAACGAGCGACATGGGGAAGACTTGAGTCCTTGTGTTTGGGAGTATGTATTTGCACTTGAGTTGTTGTGCTCCCACCAAAACTGGACCTGGATACATGACATTTTTTTAAGGTGAATATGCATTTCAACCTGTTCTCCATTTTATTTCATCATTGTTATTTGTGTGTATATAAAATGTATAAAAATAGGGTAGAATTTTATACGTTTATATTTCAGAGTGAGGTGATCTTACTTCTGCACTAAGCCCTGTGTACCTGTGGAGGTACAAAGTCATCACTTCAGCTCCCATCTTGCCTAGATACAACTGCAGTCCCTGTTCAGTGATGGTCTTTTTACTGTAGTAATGCCACAGGATGGGTATTCTTATTTGAAAGGTTAATGTGTTCAGTGGTCTCTTCCATTACTGGAATACTGGCAGATGTGCTTTATCTATTACACATTCAAATGGATCATTAATAAATTGCATTGCTCCACGGGGCACAGTTTTCATGATGCAGTTTGAATAAACCAGCTGAGCTCCCTGTATGTTTATATGAATACACACAAGTGCCTCCCGTCAGTGCATACAAAGGAGGCCTATTCTTTTAATGATTTACAGTGAAAATTTGTTATAAATCTATTTTAAATATAATGTTTTAGTTTTGTCTTGTGCTTGGTGTGCTTTCTTGCTTTTTTTCTGGATGTTCAGTCCAGTATATTTTTAAATGCAACCATGTGTTAACTTCAATTTAGAAAATAACTAAAATTAGTTATCAAAGGAAAGAAAGCACCCTGGGCCAATTTTCTTAGGAGCCATGATATGTGTGTATATCTAAATACGTTGTGGTTTGCTTTTTATTTATTTCATATACTTTCGTTCAGCAGGGAACTTTGGCCAATAATGGACAAATGGGTGAAACAAGGACCAGTAGTAAAACACATCCATGATATTACAGTAGCTGCTGTTCTGAGACTTATAGGTGAGTTTCCTTCTTATACAGTATCTACCTGTAGTTCCTGTAGTGAACATTTACACTGAATTTGGGTAGTATTTTCATTATTTCAGGGCATTTGGCCACTCGACTGAATTTGACTCCATTCCAAGATATAGTTGGGAGATGAAGCCTTAAAGGCAAGACATATAAAGTATGAGTTAATTATTTGATGGTGCATACAAGTAAATAAAATAAAATTCAATTCTTAATACTATGAGTTTTCTATATAATCAAGGAAAACGTAATTAGAGAATACTTCTGAGTTATGAATATGACTTCATCTTGTTGGATACTTTTAACTTTGAACAGGGTGATCCCTGTCATACTGGATTAGTCCACACATCAAGAAATAATGTTTCTTTGGCTCAGATGCTGCTTTTTTCATAGGGACGATGAAATAATTTCATACTTTTCAAAATAACCCTAAAGTGTGACATCAGTTGTAAAGTCCTGAAATAATAACAAGATTTCTTTTTCAGGTCGAGTGGGACAAATGGGCTTGAGACAGAGAGCTGTGGTTTCTGTAAAGAATGTTGCAAAAGTGATTAACACATTTTGCAGACATGCTAATGCAGAAGGTGAGAGTTTTATCCTTGTGATGGTTACTTGGAAAGTGTATAGACTAATAAAATCATGACGCAGATCAGATGCCATAACTGTCCTCCCTAGAGGATTTTTGTGCTTGTTTCTTCTGAAGATATTTGACAGTACTGTGAGGAAGGGACTGCTTATCAAGTCAGCAAGATAAACGTTTAAATGTCCACTTCATTTTGCTACTGTACATGAAGAATGTTTTTATAGTACTAACATACAGAAGGTAGAAGATCCTTTGTGGTTTGCTGCTGAAAATGTGGGTTTTATCATTTAACTTTGAGGGCAACACTTTGAACTTCAGATCATGAAATTGGCTATTGTAAATGGAGTCAAGGGAACACAAAAATTAGTATAAAACCTGGTAGGAGAGCTAAATCAGCCTTAAGTCTGCTCTAAGCTTGTGAGAGAAAATTGTTAGGTGTTGAATTTCCTCATGGTGCCAAAGTCACTCATGCTGAGCAGGACCTGGTGAAGACAGATGGAGACGATTTAGGATGAACTGCATCCTCTTCGGTTCAGTAACTCATCACACTTTTTTAAGTCTCAAGTTAAAATGTGAAACGTAAAACTAGAACTGAAGATGTGTTGCTTTTCAGCTGTGCGTGCTGAATGGCGTTCCCCTAAGAACCTGACTTGAATTGTTAAAGAGTTTGACACCTCGGATCCTATGTTTTACACCAGTACAGTTGATCAGACAATTTTGCTGTCACCATACATAAATCAGTGTGCTATGGTGGCTGTGCTGCAGTAATAAGAAATTAATATCTCTGGGTGTGTATTGATTGTGCTTGAACACAGGTGTTCCCTGGGGAGTGCAGTTGGCAGCAGTGTATGCTATTTATGACTTGGCTCCAAGCAATCCCAAAGAAGCCTTGGAAGCACTCGCCGCATGGAGAGAGGCAACCACTCGACCTGTCCCTCCTGCAGTTACCAGCTGTATTATGCAAATTGGCTTTATGTTGCGGCAGATGAAATAAAAGATGCTGTTTAATCACACTTGTGTAATGGACTAAGGCATCAGGCTTTGAATTTCTACAGTCATGCTGCAGATATGGGTTGAGTTTTTGGAAAGTAACAAAGCAAAGACAAGTTTTAAAGTTTAAATCTGTTGCATCTTTAAATATGCATTTAGTCTTTGTGCTTGGAACTGAGCCAGAATTATATGCTATACCAGTTTTACTGATTTTAGTGGAATTTATTTTTTTGTATGCCAGTCCTTTGTTTTCAGAAATGTTTTTATTTCATTTAAAAGTTTTATAAGTACTGTTAATGTTGATATTCACTAAAGCCATATTGTACATAAGTCAGTCATTGCTTCTTGTATATTAGACTAATTCATTTATATAGAAAGGAATTTCTTTGTGTAAACAATTCCTTTTATAATCCTCTAAAATGAAACGTCAGTAAATATTGTAAATGTTTGATAATGATATTCTAAAAAGACTTTGTACTTTTTTTTGTATTAAAATGAAAAACGATGAATGTTTTTTTTCTTAATTCTGATTGACGTACTTATGGCATTCGTGACGTGCATTCAGAAATATTCTTTTTATGATCAACCATTGAAAAGCATTTACTGGTTAAAATGATCTAAAGAAAATAGCATAATTAATGTAATGAAAAACTAAATGCACACATGAAATGGAAAGGGATGTGCAGAAATTACTAAGAATACACAGCTTTCTTAAAATGGATAGATGTATGTAGTTTACATGTAGTATCCAGTGTGTTGTATACTTGTGTGTTTGTTACCATCTGTCCAGCTTTTACCAGTAGAGGGCAAAAATGTCATAATCATGAAGAAACAAGGAAGGAGGTTGATCTTCATTAGTTTATTTGGTTTAGAGGTATTGGAATTTTTTTTGAATTATTTGTTGCAGATATTTTATGAAAACTCAGAAGTACACAAAAGAAACGTTTGTTTTTCAGATACTGTCATGGATAATTCAAATATTCAAGGATTTGCAGCTACGATATAATTTACTTGATTTTTCCTGTTCTGTCTTAAGACCTGTAAGTATCATTGGGAATAGAGTTACTGAGACATCTACTACACATCATACACTGAACAGCTGAAGATTGTTAATACTAAGGGACTGCATCAAATTTGCAAAGGTCTCAGGAGTGTTTTTATAACGGGTACACTGACATTTTCTTTAATAGGCATAGGTTAAATTAATTAAGCTGAGGCCATGTTTTCAACAGGAGCTCTACTCTGTGAATCACATGCTAGTAGCATGCGTGGCCACTTCTGGAAGCAATACAAGCAGCACCAGATACTGTCTTGCAGGATTCTGTCCCAGTGCTCTGTTCACCACACGTCATCCCGGCTCATCCCACAAACATTCAACGTGGCTTGTGCCTGGCGAGTAGGGTATCCATGACATGTCTTTTGTATTCTCATTGCGAGATGAATCTGTTCTTTCACAGGCAGTACTGGAGGTGTATTGACCTTGTATCACAATAGGATAAAGCCACAGCGCTGCAGCTCCACTGCAGGCAGTCTTCCTGAGAAACTACAGTACAACATGCTGATGGCTCAAAGGGGGTGTTCTGTTGATACGTGGGACATATTGGTTCCTTCTTGTAAGTTTTCTTTCCTGATTTTTTGCAGTCTTGGCATTCAACGGGTTAAACTTACTCATCGCTTGTGCCCAACTAATGAAGTGCTTTAGTGGTTATGCAGCAGTCACTCAAGTGTATCACACAGTACACCTGTTGATCTATCCACCTTGTTGGTGGTAAAATGGTATTAGCATAATGAATTTACCTGTCATGTCTGATCAATAAAATGTCAGTGTGCCTGCTACAGAAAAAAGCCATTTTCCTGATAGCTTTGTGAATTTTGTTGCAGTTATAACAAATGTTTTTTCTAATGTTCAGTGTATTTCTGATTAGCTATGAAAGGTTTGTACAATTGACGAAGGCAGAGTTTTAACCCGTCACAGCTATTTCTATTCACTAAACTGTAACACCACTGAAGATTGGCTCCTGATTTATTTTGCATCAAAACCACTGAATCAATGCTGCTATTGCTACATGCTTCTTGATTTGAAAAAATATACTGTAAGCTGGTAAAAGTGGCAGTAAGGAAAAAAGTATTATATTTCATAAGCATGGCATATACACAAGTCAACCTTTGGAAGAAAAAAATATAATAGGAATCACCTCTTTGAGATGGGTGTACAGCCTTTGAGCTGGCTGTGCTGGCAGGGTATAATCAATTATTCAGAAGGCAGAGAATACATTGTTTTGGCCTCTTCAGCAATAACAACCCTCCTGAGAGTTGTGGGCTAAGGGAAAAAAGCATGTAGCACACTCAGCATAATCATTTCTGGAGTGACAGCATGGCACAGCAATTACTGGGAAAATCCTTGTAAATACTAAAACACATGATATAACCATTACCTTTGCCTCTAATGCAAAATTAATGCAGTATTTAACACGATATATACTGTACATACAGACATATTGCCCTTCTAAAAATCAGTGAATGTCCCTAAAGAAATATTTTACTTATGGTAATTCTAAGTATTCATCTTTTTATACATATTGTAGCTTCAAGATATCAATTAAATGGAGAGGACCCTACTGAAGAATTTGATTAATTTCCTGGTTACTTGCTCCTGATTAATTTCTTGACTTCTAATTTATTGCAATGTATTAGTTATTTTTAGTAGCAGTCACTGAATGAGAAAAGCACCTTGTGGTAACCAGAAGCTGCTATACATGTTTGATAAATGCACTGATTTGTACAGGTATGTTAACTAAAGTTTTTCACAAGTGAACTAAAGCGCCACATATAAACAACAAGCAACTAAATTACCCATTAAAAATGCGCTATTGATTCATACAATTCAATCTTAATGCGCTTTTCCCCACAGTCCTTTTTAGGTAATCAAAGAGCAAATTGAAAAATAAAGAGCAAGAACCTTAATAAATTATCATTATTAATAGTTTCTGTGTTACTTTAATTGTAAATTTTCCATGTTACTTTAATTGTAAATAAACTTTAATTTAATTGTAAATTAAAATTAATTACAGGGGGTAAAATTAGAAAAGTTCCCTTAAATTAGCTGCCCCTTTCTGTACAACTGAACAAATGTCAGTGAAGCACAAAGAATCAGCATAAAATATTTAAAATTTATATACTGTCAAGTTGTTGTGGGATACACTTGAGTTTGCCTCACCACACAGCTCAGTTGTCATTTATTAAAATGTATCACTTCTGTGAGCAGTCAGCTTGTTTTTCAACACATGCATTTACAGTAAATGACTCATAAGATTCTTTATACCATCCCGCAGAAGATTTGTGGATTGCTGTATAAAGCACCTATTCATGACCTGTTGTGATCACTGACAAATCTTTGACAGCGTAGACCACCTTTCAGAAGTCCAAAGTAGTAAAAAAGCAAGGTAAAATCTGGGATGTATGATGGATTTGGTCCAGTTTCAAAGAACAGTATGTTGAAGGTGTTGATGAACTCCCAGGGAGCAGTTCTTGCCATTTTCATGCAGTGTGAAGCTATAATCAACAGAGTAACATACTGCACAATGTGCTATGGAGCTATCTTAAGCAAGTTCTCCAACAAAATGTCACAGAAGCCTGACAAAAGGTGTTCTATCACGCTACGATCATATAAAATAGTACTTGGGTAAGCACTGACCATTACATCAAATCACCATTACTTTTTTGTTACCAAGAGTGGAACATTCTAACATTAGAAGGCCAAATCGGTCAAGAGTTTCACATTTAACTTTCATATCATAATACAGTTGTTCCTATTTCTTACAGCAGCATTAATATACATTTGTGAGTACAGTGTTTAATACTCAGGAAAAAGATGATGTCCTAGAAATATATCTTAGACATTGTTCACTGTTCTGATAAGTGCTGTCAATAAGAGAATCAGTTGGCTAGGAACCTGGACTATTAACCTGGTGGTTTGTATTGCTCAGAGATTTCTGGTTATTGTTATTAGTTAGCAGAATTATCGCCTTCTATTCTTGTTCTTGTAATATCTCAGAAGTTAAGCTTCTGAGCACAGGGCCTGGAACAGCAAAGTGAAACTTACTTTTGTCTTACAGTCAAGCAATTTGTATTTGTGATCATGAGATTAATAAGATTTTATGTATGAAATTACCCAAAAATAAAAGGTATATTATAGTGTACATAGAATTCATATTCAAGCAAAAACATATTTGGCATTCAACCTAGTGTTTTTAATTAATCAGGTAAATTGCAGAGTGTAAATGTCATTTGGTTGTACATCCAATAATTACATAACTGAATGAAGTCTGTGACCACGTAAGCTTACCAAAATTTCTGTGTGTTCATTTGAGATGTCTTTGGTGCAGACAGTTTGAGTCCTTGCTTATTTGGGTATTGTGACTTTTTTCTTTACCATGTAAAATAATTGCACAATTGAGTTTAAACCTGGAGATTACCTTGGCCAGGCACTGGCAGTGGTAGCAATCTATTCTTAAGGATAGAATTCATTAAAAGAACTCAATTCTAGATTTCTTCATAAAACCAATTACAGACATCATTCAGTAACCTTTAATTCATTTTGCATGAAGAAATGGGACATAAAAACACACCAATGCTTTTGTCAAAGTGAAGTGCTATCAGCATATCACACATAGTTGTTTAACTTGTTAATTTTTCAAGCAGAACTAATTTTATTACATTTTCTTAAATTGATCAGTGTGTGTCTTTATTTGATTAAGTGCTAGGAGATTCTCAGCTTCAAAAAGAGGTGAACTTATTATTGTTGCATTAAAGCATCCTTTGCGTAGTTGCATTTCTCAGGCCCAATTAATTAAAATGTATGTAATAACATTAAGAGCTTAATTAACAATAAAACACTGTTTTCATAAGCTAAGCAAAAGTGTTTAAATCAAAATGTCCTTTATGTTGATATTTAAAAGTTCTGGTGGCTATACACCTTTCATTTGTGCTACTTAATATATATGGGGGGGAGATGAAGAGGATAAATATATAAACATTTAAGTTATATTTGACCTTCAGTGTATAGAGACATCAGTGTTTTTTATGATTGATTTTTAGTCATTAGATGATGTGCAGTAGTGGCAGACTTTAGGATAATATAATGATCCGAGGACAAAGATATGGATTATAATTGAAAGTGTATGGGTGAGGTGCATTTTATTAAAATCTATAATCTTCCAGAGAGCTGCAGAGTGGTAATTTTTATAAAGATGTCACCATGACTACCTTGTCATGAATATAAATTATAATTTATTTTTAAAAAGTCAATAATAATTGTCACTCAATTCACTTATTGTACACTGCATTTTACTAAGCAAAATACTTCAGTACACTATACACTAAAGTATTTTTTTTAATTCTCCAGATATTATTGGTGTTAATTAACAGACATTTGGGTGAAGATCAAATTATAATACATCACTTCTGCTTCTCTCCATTCTGGTTAAGTGCCCAACCCATAG